ACTGCTTTGTATTATTTTAATTTATTATGAGAATACCAATACGATGCTATCAATTTTGCTTCTCATGAATACTGTACTGTTACAAAGTTATTATAGATAACTTTGTTATTTCTATATTACTGTAGACGTTTAAGTGCATTCTGTAAGTCTCCATGTGTCTGTTTGGATTTAGTGACATATATACAAATTCAATAAATAAACAGATGGAATGCTCCTATACCCAATGCTTAAAATGAAAATAGTTTTTCTCTTCCATAATTCATACTTCAAGTTACTTTCCAAAACAATATAATGGCTATGGCCCTCTATAGCACAACTTAATGCAAGTATGTAAATTCAAGATATTAATCAAATCAAAATATTGATTCTACTATGGGCATACTGCTAAGTCAACACAGTAAATACACTAATGGAGAATGTTGTGCTTGGATGGGCTTGATAAAATCCTCAAAAAGAGAGAAGTGATGTAATGGGTGGTAGGAATAACCTTGAGGAACAGGAGGAAGAGCTGCAACCAAGACAATGGTCACATAAAAGAAACTTGAGTCGGAAGCAGAAATGTAATTTGAGAAAGTGTCTCAGATTTGACCCTCCCTAGTTTTCACAAAGATAAAGGGAGGGGGAAGCATATTCAGACTTGCAAGATTTTGTTACTGTAACTCAACAATAAAAGTAATATTAGAATTCAGAACTTTGGTTTTCTGGTAGGGTCTACCTTGAAGAGCTGACAGGTGAAAAGTTTAAAGGACAAAAGACAATGGGTCAAGCCACATACGGACATGGTGGAAGCCAATGATGGTTTGCAAGGATAAGGAAAGATATAGTGAATGGTGTTGGTGTAAACTACTTTTAGTAAGAATTCCTTTTCTTTTTTCTTATCTCCTGCTTCCAGTTGACTTTGCTTACTACTTCTGATGCCTTTTTTGTATTTTGCATAACATGGCTTGCTCCAAAGAATAGCATGATCTTCTAGGAAGTGTATGAGTGTACTATGGACAAATTTATATTTTTGACATAAATGTCCCTAAATATATTGGAGTGGCATTAAGAAGCAAATGAGAGTGATTAAAAAAAAATAATTTGGTTTCCTTAAAGGACAATGGAAACTTGGGTGGAGGGTGGGGGTTAGTTTTGGCTGCATCACAAAAATCTCAGTATATCTGATGAAGCACCGGTGGGCAAACGTCTGTCAGAAACCCAGTTGTGGAGCACGCAGAGTTGACTTCCTTTCTTAACCAGCTGCTATTTCTGGCTGTTGCGTAATCAACATGCTTATATAGGTAACTAGATCTGGAAGCACTTTTCACAGCATCCCAAAGCAAGCACATAACATCCTGCTGTGACTGAGTTAACATGAAGCTTCTCTGGCAACCTCAAACCTCATGAAAGGGACTTACTGCAGTCTGCCACCTGCTCCTAAGTCCTACTTTACTTCAGCTCGGTTCATGTATTACCCAGAAGCTGCACAGGAGTGTTTTTGTTTCAGTCAGGTTACTCGGCACTTACGTTTCGGTAAATGTACTTGGCACTTAGGTTTTGCTTTGCCTGGGTGGAGATGCATAGCTGTGTATATTGTAATGTTTGGAACTGTGACAAAGTGACCACAAGAAGAACATAAAGAGAGCCATGGCTTTGTGGTTTGTCTTAAGGACACACATACCGAGTTTCAGAATTTTGTTTGGAAAATAAAAGAGCTAGAAAATTTTCTTCTGCCATGCTTGACTAGAAAGATTATGTTGGTCAGCCCAAACTATGCATTGTTAGGTATAATTTAAGATCTAAGATCCAGCTTTTGAATTTTCTGAAATGGGACTACAGAGGATAAAAATATCGATATTGCTATGAAAATGCTTTTCAGTGGATGCCAGGCACTTTTATATAGGTCAATTCTATTATCCACTCTTCAGTTTATTTCCTTTTGCAAGGAGCCATGTCACCCTTTTAACAGCTGTGCTACTTCTAAAGAAGCAGCGTCAAAGAGAGAAACTTTATAGCACCAAAGATTCTCTAACACATCACAAGTCAAGAATCCATCACCCAGATGGCCTGAACAATCTGCCAAAAATGAGCTATAAGAACTCAAAGGGGTTATCTCCAGGGTACTGGGATCTGAGTAAATGTTTCCTCTTCAAATTCTGGACAAATTCAGGGCTAGTTTATTTTCTAGATTGCCGAAAGCAATGAAGCAAGTACTAGGATTTCTTCCTTAGTCACTGCAGAAACGTTACAGTTTTGGATGTGAAAAAATAGCTACGGAAGCAAGGAAACAGTTCCAACAGTGTGGAGGAGGGAAATTGAACGCCCATATCAGCTTTGTTGACAAAGAATGTACTTCATTCACATGCTGCAGCTATCATTCTTATAAAACAGTTGATGGGATACATTTTAATCTTTTTTTCAGCTTGGGACTCAACAGCAGAACTGGACCCAATGTGGTGCTGAGAGAGGTTAGAGGAAAGACAGAATTGGAGAATGGGCTGGATTTGGCTAGGGCTGCAGAGAAAATCCAGGAAAAAATCTCCAATGCATCCCTCGGGGAGGAACAGCTAGGCAGAGCAGCTGAGAATTAGGCCAACTTCAGTGACGCTCAGCCTGTGCTTCCTACCTTGTTTCTGTTTCACATACGCTTATCAAATTAAGGTAGAACTTTTTCGAACAGTTTATGGACAAGGTAATAGTAGAGATTATTTTTTTTCTGATATTTATTGTGATTACAGGAGTAGATCTATTTGTATATTGGTGTCTGAACTTAGTAGTTATCTTTAATATCTTTGGACTTCACTTCATGCTGGCTGGAGAATTCTGGGAGTTGAAGCCCACACATCTTAAAGTTGCCAAGGTTGAAAAACACTGGACTACATTAACAAAGAAAACAATTTTGGATGCAGCTTCCTTTTGTGTGAAGCGAACATTATTACCATTTAGCTGCCCTTTCTAAAAGGTATGATTGCTAATTTAGGGGTTGGGTTTGCAACCACATTCTGGTTTTTAAGATAGGGCATGCAACGTAAGAGTACTGGGCTGAAATAGGTCTGGAGAATATTGCATACTATCAAGACTACAGGTAGTCCCTGGGTCAAGAACATCCGGTTTAAGGACGATTCATAGTTAAGAACGGAGCTTATTGTACCAAAATTTGAATTAAATACACAATGATTCAACCACACGGTGATTCAAGTTCATTTCACAGTACTACTTATACGGTATTATACAGTAATACTGTTCCGGCTTACATACAAATTTAAGAACAGACCTTGGGAGCGGAACTTGTTCTTAAACTGGGGACTACCTATATTTTGAAATGAAATGGAGAAATTGGAGAGAATACTTTATTTTCCTTCTTTTGCACATGCATCCAATCCATTCTGCTCATATTTTACTTTGGGTCTAATATATGAGTTTTGCTTTCACCTCTCAAACTGGAGCAGAATTGCTTTCAGAGGAACATCACAATTAAGGATTTACATGTATTTCTAGTACATACTATACTATATTACAGGATTTTCTTATTAAGCAAAGAGCTCATTTATGAAACAGACATTCTAGTTTTCTCTCTCTTGATTTTTGGTTTGGTATTTCCTTCTTTGATTTGATCTATTACCGAAGATAGTTGCAAATCTTTACAACTTTTGATCAATGTTTTCCCCATTATTGCTTTTCCTGTCACAATCTCCTACAAAGTCTTGACTCCAGTTGCTAAAGATACTATCTTTGTCCCAAATCTGAAAAATACCCATTTGTATCATGTCTCATTCCTTGATGAGAAACATTTTGGTTAATTTGTACTACTTCACGTCTTTTTCATAAGGTAAGTTAAAACTAATTTTTCTCTTTTCATTACCTCCTTCATCAATATCCTGCACAATCATCTTCTAACCTTTTGTACATACTGTAAAACCTGCATCTGGAAACAGATATTGAATGGCAATATTATTTCCAGAATTGCTTACTTTGAGTTCTGATCATTTTTATTGTCTTGAAAAGTCCTTGCTTTTCCTTCTTTTACAGTTGATTACTGGAAGATTTACAGACTGCTATAGATCTTAGAATGTATCCCAAGAGTTGGACCTCAACTCCATTCAAACCAATCTTAGCTACTGATTTTTTGTCACAGATCCCCAAAGTTCTTAGTAGATGTTTCTGTTTTGTCTTCATCTTGGCATAAAATAAACGACAACATCAATACCTATGCATATGTACAAAAGCAATCAGATCCATCTTTGAGATTCTTTCAAATCCTCTTTTAGTAAATTCTAATCTCTGGTTGGAGAGAAAATTCTTCTATATTAGGCAGCTAACAGCAGGTCTTCCTGAACACTGTTTTTACAATGAAAGTAGGATGGGAACTAAATTGAATTATTACAGGAGCAGAAACTTTGTAAAAATTCAGTCAGTAAGGGTGTACTGATGAGGTAACTCATACAGGGTTTCCTATCAGAAATGCATCACAGAATTGTGGAGATGGAAGGGACCACAAGGATTGTCCAGTCCAAACTTCCACAAAGTGCATAAAAACCAATTAAACCATCCATAAGAAGTGGCTGTCCATCCTCTTCTTAAAATCCTTCAGAGATGGAGAATCCACAACCTCCATTGGTAGCCAGTTCTGACAGATCTTACTGTCAGAAAGAGATGAATTTGGGCAAGCATGTTAAGATATGTAAATGTAACGGTATGTGGGAACAACCTTGGGAGACGAGAGAGATCTGCAGAATGGACAATGGTTGTGAAAAAGCTATCTCAGCCACAGAAGGAGGGAGGGCTTGGGAAATGTTTCAGAAGGGAACCTCCCTAGTTTTCCGGAGAGTAAAAGGAAAGGAAGAGAGAAATACTTTCAGTCGTGCAAGATTCTGTTAATGTAACCTTACCATAAAGATAGGGCTAGTACTCCTGGTTGTGTTTCTTGTCTGGACTACCTCACAGAACTAACAGTTAATAAAACAGCTGAAAATAAATGTTTTAAAATTGTTCATTACCATATTGAAGCATACAAAATAATATACTATGACCAAACATTTAATATGGGTTAAAAAGTACAATAGCAGCAATACTATTATTAAACTACATTAGTTTTAAATAATGAAAGTACAGAAAATGAAAATAATGAGACAATGATTTGGGGCACAATACATCCTACACAAATTGATGGTGTTCTTTCTTGGAACCCTTGCCCTCTATGCCAGCTATAGGCTTTGGAAGGAAAAGCTGCCAAATGGCTGGTATTCTTTTTAAGTAAGCCAACCAATGATGGAAAATTATAATCTACCACTTTTTACTTCAAAGGGGGTTAATGAAAGTCACATGAATCAGTAAACAATAATACAATACTGTCTTTATTCTTACTTTAAAGTCAGTGCGTGTTCCTATCCCCCCCCCTCCTCCTCCTCCTCGAGCCTTCAGTGAAGTACTTCAATGGAATTTATGCAGTGCAGGCTCAACTTTTGATCCATTTTATACATTTAATACTTGGACCTACTGCAGCTTTTACTAAATTAAGTTTAGTAAATTTAGTAAAAGTTCAGCTTTTACTGAATTAAGTTTAATAGGCATCTTTTGTTTATACTGATGTTATTTTTCCTCCACAACCACAGATGGCTGTTTTGGGAAATAATTACATGCCATATAATGTAAAAATAGTCTTTAAAAAGCTAAAACAATGCATGTGAATAAAACTGTACAGCATTCATTCTTTGTTCAAACACCTAATTTAAAAGTGGGGAAAAAAGAATGAGTTTTATATGATCTGGATGACTTATTCCAGAACTCAGAAATTGAAGCAGGCAATGAAAGTAGCAAATACATTAGAATTCAACGCAGTGCAAACAAACTGTCAGGTCTGAAAGAATCCAAGGAAAAATGTCTTTTCACAGGAAATAGCTTGGCTGTTTTTCATAGGTTTCTTCACGTAGGACACAAAACTGCAAAATAATCAAGTTATGAATGTTATTAAATTGACATAGTTTCTAGAATATAACGGTAAACCTTCTAGGGCCAAAGTTGTAATAATTATCTGTACTAAATATGAATCTTAACCCTTATTACACAAACAAAACAGATAAATCCATAAAGATATATACATATACACACACACACACACACACACACACACACACTACTGTCAACTAATTTTTTTTTTACAGAAATGGACTATATAGTAGGTCATGTCTTTGTTACTGGGTTAAATTTTTAAATTTAAGGAAAGCTGACCAGCTTTTTTCCTCAATTTTCAGGAACTTTGGAGAAAGCTAATGACATTGCATCTCAAAGATCTATGGACAACTGCATTCCACTGCCCTTGATATTTAAGCCTGCAGCTTAAAATACAGAGAGAATCAAGACATGTCCTTTATATATTCCTTTATCACATCTATAAGGCACAAACCTCAGAGCAATGCCGCTTTCAAACCAATGCTAGCACAATATAAAACAAATGAAGAAATCAGGTTTAAAATGTCACAACCACAGATGTCCTTGTTATTGGGAATAATGTTTCATCATTAATTTTTTACTTATGTAAACATAAAATAGGTGTCTTGCTAATACTAATATTAAGATGATTTTTAATACTACAGTTTAAGTGTCTAAAAGCAAAAATATAAACTGAACGCATTTACATTTTCTGTGATAACACAAACATACTGTCAAGTGTTTTTCCATCTAGAAATTGGCCAAGAAGGTTTGCTTTAATCCTGAAAGTTGACTGCTCACCCTTATTTAATGAGCAATGTATAGTATGTGAGGCAATCATCCATCAAACAAGTTTGTTTCATTTGTTTTTAAAGAGAGGAGGGGCTGCTTTTTATATAACCTGTCCTTCTTACCATCTCTTTGTTCTCAACTTTCCCCCTTCCTGTTCATATTTAACTACAAAAATGGCTTCATTGCACTCTGTTGCCCTTCAGAGGTCATTGTTTGTATTGCAGGAGAACTCCCTCTAGCTTGCCTAGTCTAGTCTTTGGCTTGGGTGACCCAAGCTTTCAAGCTTTCTCTTTTGTGCAGCATATCTAAAGGCTGCCAACATAAGCCTTTCTATTCTAAAAGAAATGGAGTCGGGGAGATAGCACATGCCAAATGTTGATTTTACCATGGAAGAAAGCCACTAATACAAAACAAAGTAAAATTTGCTTCATTATGTGAATTATGGTTGATGTGGCAATTGTCTACATGGAAGCTCCTGGTGGTTCCATCAAGACTGGCAGAGTGAATCTTATGGTTACTCACAAACAGATCTTCTCTATGGTGGTGCTGCACTCTGGAATGTTCTCCAGATCCTCAAAACTTGTGAGATGTTTACTGTTATATCTTAAGCTCTTCCATGTAATTATAAGTGTCAGTAATAAATCAAAATAACAACCAGATTCATTTTTTCTTTATAATATTACAGTTCTGCTGAATCCTATTATTATAATCAATGGAGAATTATAATTGGAGGAACCTTTGAAGATATTTACCGCAGTCATAATACAAGATTGCCCAAATCTTAAACCGAAGATTTCTAAATTGACTCAATTTAATTATTTATATCATACTTTGTTTTACAAATTTATCTTAGTTCTTTGCAATAAAAATAAATACAGAATTATCTCAGCAAATTGTTCTTCCAAACTGCATATCAGTGATAGTTACATGACGGATGCTACTCCTCTAGATATTCTATTGTCATTGCAGAGTACAGTGAAAAGACAATCCCAAGTATACTACAGTATATTAGTACAGCATAAAACCATTTTATGAAAATTCCAGTTCTTTTTTGAATTTTCCAATGTTACTGATAACAAGGTAATGGTTAACCAACAAAACTAATGTAGATCAGTAGATATTTAAGAGAATTCAGTTAATCCTGATTTACTGAACAATACCACCTACCACAAACGTCCATAATTCTTTGGAAAATTCTGTCTCCGAGAGGTGGACCAAGAACTCTATTGCTGCCTTTTGAATTCCAACATGCACAAGTGTATAAAGCTTACATTTTTATTGCTATATGGAATTGACACAAAGTATCCATCAGCAGTATCACAGTAGTCATATTAACAGTATTATACTGATTTTCTAACAAGAGAATAACATAATGTGGGACTCTATTAAAAATAGTTCATATTAAAAATCTTTAAAACATTACACATGAAAAAGCAGAAATAAATATCCCACAAGTTAATAAGAAATGTGTAATATTCTCTTCAGTCTCTTGAATATTGCATTGGCAAATACTCATTTACTGATTGACTGATACATAATTTTGATTCCTTCATAAAATAGAAAGATGTTTTAACCCCTTATGCAATATAAGCTGAGTTTACCCAGAGCCTTCTCTGCTTATGTATCTTAACAAGTAGGAGGAAGAACTATAAAGAATACTTGGGTTGTCCTTTTTTATCCAGGGGAAAGTAACTGGAGAATGGGAATAAGGGAAAGACCAAATCTAGCATTGTGAACCTAATGTGTCCCTTCCTTCTAGATTTTATACAGGGGAGGAATTCTGTTTTATATTTGTCCCCCTACTCCACCCACCATCCTGCAATTCCCTAAGATTTTTCCAGATGCTTTGACTTTTCCATGACTTTTATGTCTTTTGGGGTGCCTAGCAAACAGCTCAATTAATCCCCAATGTGTTTCATGATTTTCAGAAAAGATATTAAATTCCAAAGTGGATTTGTTTCTTTAGAATGGTTCTGCCGATCTTTCTGAGTGTTAAGGAGATCTTCTATGATCTCTAGAATGTCTCTGTCTCTTCAAGCCAATTTCCATGTGCTGAAGTGCTCTACATTTCCAAAGTGGCACCACTGATTTTGTTTGTGACTACTTCAGAGAAGTTATATTTATGAAGAGCCATGATCATGCAACAAGTAAGTGCTTTCACTTCTAAATTAGCAGTGTTACAATATTCACAAAGCCATTGAAAATTACAATACAATATTTCATAGTGTTTTTTTTTTAAAATGAGTGGCTGATAATCGGTAAACTCACCTTTCAAAATGTAGTCTGTTAATAAGCTTGGCACTTTCTCACTGTCTTCTTTCATGGCATGAAGAACTGTAAAATATGAGGGTGCTAATCAGTGAAAGAAGTAGAAGTACAGATCATTACCTTTCAATAAAACATGCAATTATAAAAAAACTAAGCTGAAGGTTATTCTGCATATCCTATTTATTTATTCAAGGGAGCAAGATACAAAATACTGAATAGACATAGCTCTGCTATGCACTCAGATTTGTTCAGAAGATGGACTATTCCTATCAACCCTAATACGACACCATTCCTATAGTACCAAGAGCTTTCTATTTTGGGTAGGATGTGAAGACCTGGGAAAAAAACAATAGAAGTAGTTTACCCAGTGTTTTTCCCAACAAATACTTCTGGAAAAAGTGAAACAGAAAAAAAAAAAAAAGACCCTATGTTTTTTCCTCATTGATCTAGAACTGGAGTGAGCTGTTATTGCCACAGACTGCTAAACAACAAAAACCGTGATGGAAGACAGTATAAAAAATTAGGATGGAAGTATCCAATTGTTTCTTTGCTTTTTCCATTCCTCTAGCCAAAGAGATGTGGAAAAGCCTGGAAGCACATCAGTTTTCTCCTGGCTTTTCACATCTCCAGTTTCTCATCCCCCTACCCCACCCCTGATCTAGCTCCCCAGAAAAGGATAGAGACCTTGCAGTAAAGGGAACCTGGAAGATTTAGTGAAACTTGTTTTGTATCTTTATTCTTGTAAATCATTACTATATTTACCCAAAAGATGAGCTATTGAAAGGGGGAAACCAAAAGCCACAGCTTTTGCCTTACTGAGGAATGACACTAAACTGTGGGGAGGCCAAGTTATTTTTATAACAAAGGAAAAGCTAGATATTTATAACAAAGGAAAAGCTAGTCCTTTCACAGAACATGGATCTACAGTATAGGTGAAAGGCTTCCTCTGTTCTTTGTCTCCAATCATGTTTTTAGCCTTTACTGTGAGATGGAAGTGATGGCAATGTTTTTTCCACTCTTCTGCTTCATTGCAGACATTCATCTTCTAGATGAGTGTTTTTCAATTTTGGCAACTTTAAGATGTGTGGACTTCAATTCTCAAAATTCCCCAGCCAGCGTTTTTTTTTTTTTACCCAACTGAAGTTTCCAAGCTGTCATCCAACATTTTGTACTAAGTGAAGTTTTATGGATTCTCATTCGGGCATTTACCAGCTTTCAACCTATTTAGTTTCCGCAAGGCTCCTGCACTACATATGATTCAGACTAGGCTTTGCTTTTTTATTATTCTGTGACTTAAAATTCTGATTTGACTACTAACCTGATCATTTGTTATGAAAAGAGGAGAAAGTCACAATGTTGTTGGTGAGGAGGAGCCCTTTCTGTCAAAGTTACCCACACTTTCAGCAGTGATGTCTGCACTGAAGAAGCTTTTACAGACAAAATTTCTATGTTATCTCAAGAACTATGTTATCAAAGTTTAGAGCAGTACAGTTCATTACTTAAAACTCTGTACTTGTAGAGAATGCAGCACTTTTTGATTCCAGTTGAATATATTTTATTTAACCTGTATTGTGGGGAAAAACACTGGTGAAATTCCAGTGTTTCATATTTCTTTCAAATTAGGACAAATTAGTCTTGTATGTTTATTAAATAACCTAGTTAATCTCAAGGTTTTATGTTTTAGCTATTTACTTCAATTAGATCTCTGAAATAGTTTTTTTAAAAATTTTAATTATTTTATTTTAAAATCAAGGTATTAATAATTTTATTAAAACAGCTAAGATCCAATTTTGTTTCTTGAAGTTATTATATAAACAAGGACAAAACTCTTAGATGGTGAAATACATTCATGGCTAAATTCAGGGCTATGAATTATTCTATTACAAATACAGTAAAAACATGAGTGGTTAAATGTCTCTATTTCTCCAAGAGAAAGAGGTGATTGGCAAACTGCTGAAATCAGTAGTATGGTTTGCAAAGAAAAAAAACCCCAACACATTTAAGAATTTGCTAAATTCAGAAAACTTGAAAAACAGTAAAGACAGTTGAATTGATGTTTTAATTAATCCCAAAATATAAAATATAATTATTTAAGTACACACAGTTGTTGTATCAAGCCAAATCATATAAGTCTTGTTTAAACAATCAATGCTTCACATTTGATTCTGGCAAAAAGTATATTTAAAAGAAAATTATTTATTATTTTTAAAAAAGAAAATAATTAATTTTACATTCTGGTAAGTAGCTTTCAAATATTTCTCAAGATGCTAATTTATCTGAGACAACATAAAAATATACAAGGAACAAACTGTTCAATTACAGGAAGAAAGTTTACAATCAAGATTCAAATTATCATATCCTTTACACTAACTGGCACAAGTTCACCAGGTTTTCTCTGAAATGGAAAAATAATTTTATAAGTAAAACATCACTCTGCAAAGGATTGAAATAATTTATAATCTTTATGAAAAGAGCACATTCCAAATCTCTAATTATGAGCGTGCATAAATGTCATATAAAATCTCTCAGATGCTATTTACTCTTTGGAATTCAAATAATATTCAGGTTTAAACAGTTCTGATGCTCTAAAATAAATGGTTTCACTGCTGTCATACAACAGCATTACCAGGAAGAGAGTCAGGTAGTCTGTCTCTGAGCAACCAACAGATCAAATTTCAGTTAGTCAATGGAACACAACAGTGTTAACTCCCTAAACCATATCATTTAAAACAATTAATTCATGATGAAGGGGCCTTTCAGCCTTATTCTCTTCAGTTTCAAGTTAGTGTCTCAGCACTCTTGTTAAGTAGTTTATATATAAACTGGTGACAGCATATTTTAGCAGAACTAAAGGAAAAAGTTTATGTTTATCACAACTGTTTGTTGTCTGAAAGAGTTTTACTTATTACTGTTATTGTACAATGCAAATAGGGACCTTGCAGAAGCTTGAAAATACAGGTAGTCCTCGCCTAATGACCACAATTGGGACTGCAATCTCGATCGTTGAGCGAGGTGGTCGTTAAGCAAGACACCCACATGACTGCTTTGCTCAACGACCACAATCCAGGCACTCCTGGTTGTGGTCAAGTGATCTCCTGGGCTGTTAAGCAGACGGAGAGAAAGAGCTGTCTGCTGAAGGATTTCAGCTCCATGCAGAGCTGAAATCCTCCCAGCAGGCAGTCCTTTCCTCTCAAACATTCCTAAAGCCCGCTGAAGGGTTTGCCCTCCCCTTCGTGGATGGAGGGGAAATCCTTCGTGGGGCTGGAGGAATGGAACTCAAATCTTCAGGATGCCCCCTGAACACTGCTGAAAGGTTTGTTCCTGCACACTGCTGAGATGTTTCTCCTCCCCTCCGTGGAAACTTCTCAGCAGTGTACAGGAACAGAGCTCAAATCTTTAGGATTTGAGCTCCATTCCTGCACACTGCTGAGAAGGGAAGGGAAACTTCCCAGCAGTGTGCAGGAAGGGAGCTCAAATCTTCAGGATTTGAGTTCCATTCCTGCACATCACCAAGAGGTTTCCCTCCATCCCCTTGGCTTGCAACCTCCCCTGCATTGACTTTCTGGGGAAGTCAGTAGAGAAGATTGCAAATGGCAATCATATGATTGCGGGGTGCTTGGCAAATGGTTGTAAATGCAAGCTGGTTGTCAAATGCCCAAAATGTGGCCATGTGAACACGGGGGGTGGGGTGGGGGCGGCACAACTTTTTACGATGGCTGGAAGTGCTTTACAGGCTGTAAAGCAACCTTTCCGAGGCCATCGTAACTTCAATCCATTGTTAAACATATGGTTGTTAAGTGAGGACTACCTGTAATCATATATGTAATTCCCCTTGTCCCTCCTGACCATTTGGAAAGAGTGTCGATGCTTGTTCAGCCTGAGAAAATGAATGGATAGCTATGCAAGGCAAATGATGCTGACTTTATTGAAAGAGATAAAGGAAAATAGTATTTTCAAAAAAGTCAAGACCTAGGAATGATGGATAATTGTGCGATATCTGAGTAAGGTAAGTAAACATAGACTGCTGACCAATTCCAAGCATTTTAGGGCAAAGTGGATTTCCCTGGCTAATTTAGAACAGAGGCTACTCAGCTGATCCTCGAATAATCTTCAACTGAAGTTACTCTGGAAAATCAGCTGTTTTTTCTCAATATCAATACATACATGGAAATTTATTTGTCTAACAAATCATATTTATGTGCTTACTTTTCGTTAACGTTTGAAGATCTTCAACTGATGGAGGTCCATTTTTCTTTTCATAAGGAATAACAGTTGTCAGATACTGTCAAACAAAAGTTATGATTACTATAAAGTCTTTTCCTAATTAACTTTAGCTGCTAAAAATCTGATGTTGGTAATATTAGATACAGCTCTTCCATACAGCTGTGCTTTGAAATATGTAATTATGTTTAATTCAGATCTATTGAATGTCATCTAATAAAAACTGAAACACAATGAAATCAACTAAAAGATGTCTCAGCAAGCAATAAAATGGTGCCCCTATATCAAAACTGGTAATTTTTAGAATGTTCTTATATATTATATACATTTTTCTTCCCTCTGAGCTCTTCTAAATCACATGTTCTTTTAAGAAATGTTCTGCGCTGTAAAGAACAGTTATATTGTGATTCCATATGGAACTAAATTTTTGCATTAGATATTCTGTACAGCCAAAACATAAATGAAAAGTTCTTTTAAATACAATAACGGGAGATTCCTAGATTTGTTCAGGATCAATCCATTGGGTTTTCTTAGAAAGAATATAGCATGCAATTATTAATGCACTGGAGTGACTCCATAAAATGTTTAATGAACTCTAGACAAGATCAAGGCACTATGGTCTTTGGCAAAAAATAAACAATATACATGCTAGGGCAGTGAAATCATGTCTGTCAGCTCTGATCCTAAAGTTTTGGGGGCAGAACCAGGACATCTTTGGTTACCCCCTGGCTGTAATAGGATGTTTTATATTTGGACTTCATGACTCCCTCATGCTGAACTCTTTGACAGTGGACCACGCAACACAGCCAATTTATGCTTAGAAGTGGGTGCACTTAGCAGCAACAGTGGGTTCCTATGTAGCTAAGCTTATCTAGCTGTTATTTTTTGCACTGACTTATACATAGGTATGTGTTTCCTTGAAATTATACTGTATCTGCTTTTGCTGCTGTAGAGACAAGTTGTATTTAGTTTTAAATTTTATTTTGAACAATATTGTTTCCAGCTCTTTGACATTTTTCTTGTCTATCTACAGTATATGGATATAAACTCTCAGTTTAGAGTAAATTATATCCCTTATTTATTTATTGTATTTATATAGCTGACATCTCACATAAAAGTGACTCTTTAAATAAATATTCATATTTTAAAAACTCAAGAAATGTACCCTTTTCAAAACTTAATTCTTCCTCACTTGTAATTAAAAATTTGCATTTGCTACTTTTTGTAAAATCTTAGAACCATACCTTGACTCTCAAACTCCAACAGATTGCAGTACAAAAAAGATATTTTTGTTATATGATCAAAGGACAATACTGTCAAAGGGTTACTACTTCCAAAATTATTTATAGGAAAAACACTGACCTTTTGTAATACCAATTCATTATTTTTGCTAAAACTGTGTAGCTGATTTTTTATTTCAAAACGAAGGGCATTTCCATGGTCTGGCTTTCTGGTGTGTGGTTTCTTTTTTAGGATTGAAGAATAATAAGGTACCAACACTACGTATTGATAGCATAATCCAAAAACAGGATCAGGAAAAGCGGTTTTCCATTAACATGAAACAACTATACAGATAAAACCTAATTCAACCCACACAAATACAAATAAAATAAATTAATAATACAATTTTATCAGACCTATTTGTGTTTGAAGCTCCTTCCTGAAACAGAGGATCTTACTCTGGTAGATTCATATGTTTTACATTAAGGGCAAAATGCAGTTGAATATCTCTTTACTAGATAGGAATCTATTAAGCTAGCGAATTAATTGTTCAGTATAGATTCAAGACTTAATTGATATAATGCATGTATCTTCACATCACATACGTAACATATTGTTGAAGGCTTAAATATTTAAGATTTGAGGCTCAGCAGTGCTCACTTAAGTGTCACTTTCAGATTGTGATATAAATATCCTCCAATTCAGACCCAAAGGTACTGATCCATGCACAGGGCTTAATGTGAGCTGAGGAATGATTTCTGCATGTTCAGATCACACGCTTTCTTAGTCTCAAATGTTCCTTAAGACTTAACAGAGATTCAGAGGTTGCCCAGCACATGTACTATACAGGAGGAAGACAAGATAGACCATCTCTCTCTCACCAGTAGCCTAAAACAACAATGCTGTAACAACAGGCTTTTATGCTTGGTGAGCAAGAAAGCCAAGAGGCTAGAGTTTAGCTCAACAGGCAGCTGCAAGACAGAGTAGAGTAAGGGTAGATAATCTATTCCCTAATTCTGAATGGCACAGGCAAGTATTTTTTCCCTTTAATCTCTCTTCCGTTGCAGCATAAGTAAATCACTGCTATAGGCGAAAGACAGTACCATTCTCAATTATTCTTTGGTGCAATATTGTGTTTTAGTTCTCTTCCTTTCAACGTTCAAAGTTTCCCAGCCATGCCCATGCCACTTCATTCTCATTGCTGGTATGTTTTTAGAAAGAAAAACAAGATGTTTTGGTTTATAAAACAATTAACTGGATGAAAGCAGGTCAAGGAATTTTTTTTCTTTTTCTTTTTTATGTCTCCAGTTGTTTTGTACCATCATCCCGTTCTCTCTGGGTTAGTCTCTCCAGCCTGTTCTGCAAATTTCTCTCTCATGCCCCTTTTCCACAACAGGAAAAAATGAATAATGAGCTAGGAAAACAAATAATAATAAAGACTGAATTTCGAAAAGGAATTACTACTAGGGAGAAAGAAAAATTTTGAGTGGCTTCCTTTGTGCTCCTTTTCGGTTCCAATTTTGAAAACAGGTATTTTCTCTGCTAAGGACGATCAGGGTCCTGGAGCAATCCTTAATTTTCAGAAAAGGGTCGACAGAGCACTCAGGCTTATGATAAGCAATGCCATCTATCCAAGCACCTCTTTTCTTTAGTTCTATAGGAAACGGCTACTGCTTCTGCTTCCTTGATGCAATAGGGAAGGCGCTTCTCATGGGTCCAGAATACTCTACTACATAGTTGATTAAAGTAGCTACTTTTTAATGTCTAAGGCCAGCTATAATTTATAGGATTTATTTTCCTTAAAAAATTCTATTCTATCAACAACCTTTATATAATTTCAGACCCTGGCTGAGACATTATTAGTCTTCTAAAAGCAGGGAGATCTCCAACAACTCCAAATCCCTTAGAAATCAGTAGTTCCAAACTAAGAAATATGTATTTTAGATGTTGCCTTAAAATGAGTCAAACTAGATCCATCTAGGTCAGTACTACCTTTATTATTTACATATAAGTCCTATACATATGCAAATGTAGAATCTATATTTATTGTTAATATTTTGGAAATAGTGGGTAGCCGAAAAATTATTTGTCTCTGAAAGAACTATACGAAAAATTCCATAGCTACCTGTAATCTAGAACTAAAGAATACCCACATATGAAAACCAATCAAAACCACGTACATATAAAACATAAGTTAACAGTGTCAATTTATGCAAGTTTTTATCAACATTCTATACACATATTTGCTCAACAGTGCATCACACTCTAGCAAATCACTCATGATGTATTAAAACTTGTGTAATAAAATAATAATTTATGGTAAAAGATGTTTTTCATATGTCATATCAACCTCCATATTCCATATATGAGCAATACTTTTATTTTACTTGGGGTTCTCCAACATTCTTCACTGGACAAAACAGTAAGCAAAGCAGGTGGGGATGGGAAGAATCAGGAAAAAGAATGTCTGGAACCACGGAACCTGCATTTTGTCCTAATCATAAAAAGGAATGTTGGAGGAATTGTAGACATTCAAATAAGGTTTTTCCTTGTGTTGTGATGAGTTGAAGCATTCATGAGATTAAAAAAAGGGTTCTCCCCTTTATTACACATACTACTTTGCTATATATATTTCATATGCTTCTGGAATACATGTTTTCTTCAGAGATTTGCTTCCTATATAAAATGTAGTCCAAGAAATACATGAAATTTTGAGGCTTTTTACTTCTTGTAACTTAAGGATCATAAAATAGATTTTACCATTTTGGAAAATAGGAGATATGCCTTTTACTACTTCTGTTCATTTTTCTCTTCCCAGACTGAAACTTTCAAACTGACATGACCTTTCATTACTGCTTTCTTAGACAGGTATTTAACTCCAAGTATGTATTATGCTGTTGCCTGCATTTTATTTTAAGAAATTAAAATAAACCCTCAGGGGAAATTTTTCATCCACTGTATTTTTTTTTTCTGTGCGTATCAAGGCTTGCCTGCTTTTTAACTACTAAGGAAAGAAAACCTTTGTAAACAGGTTTTAGCTTTAAGGCAGGGAAGATGTGAATAAGCATACAAATGTATTTCCTCCCTCTTTGAGAACACCTGAAGTCTGAAACTGCTCCAACTGCCAACTTTTAAGACAAGGAATGTATACAGAGACAGAAAAGACAGCACAAGGAAAACAAAGTCAGAGAGTAGCCCAGCACCTGTTTTTCTCCACCCGCGTTTCCAAACGTTTGTCGAAAGCCATTCTGAATGACATTTGAGATTCCTTCCATACTGAAGCGCTATAAGGAGCGAGAATGTGGCAGAAAAGGGGGAAAAAAGAAAAATGTAAAGGTATTAGTTAAGTTGTACTGGGGATGCCAGCAAGGTAAATGTTAGAATGAAATATAGCTGTAGCTTAATGAGAAAAACCCTGACTTTTAAATATTTTGTTCTTTAGGGAGTAAGGAATGGGACCAGCCAAATATCAGGTATACAGCACTAGGATGAGGTTGTTTCTGCGTTAAAAATCTTTATCTAATGCTAAGTATCTCAAGCAATATATTTAAACATGTATGAAAGCATACACACCAAACATGCTAAAGTAGATTGCCATATAAGCTTTCTGCTCCCTGCCCAATCCCATTATACATTACAAGCACAGGGGTATTTCTGACAGGCTTCAGAATACAAATAATTCCATGTCTTATTTGCATTACAAAGGGCATTTCCTTGCCCCTCGTGGCTGAAAGAGGGAAATATACAATACCAACAAACTGTACAACATGTTCTGAGCAGGGAATTCAATCTTCAGTTGATATTCTTTTTGAAATAAACCTAGACAGTCCTGTAGATTCCTAACCTGCCAATATTTCATTCTGCAACTAGAAATTATTCCAAAATGAGGTGGCACATAAAATCTCTCCATGCTAGTCTTGTTTGGACAGACTAAGAAAAAAAACCTTACTTTTTCCATACAGAGACGTCTCAACAGTAAGACAAACGTCTACTCATGACAACTGACTGCACTTGCTCTCTCAAGTCGCTCCTACACAAAGAAGAAAATTCTCACCGCTACTGGAAATCACACTATGGAAATGAACAAAGTGTCTAACACAAGAAATGGATGTTTATGCTGTGAGCTGCATTCAGTTTCTGTACACAAAACAAATCAGTGAATTCTTCCCTTCTTTGCAGATGTATTCATTGTGGGGATCTCAAGTTTTAATGGGAGAAAGTATAACGGAAATGTAATCTGCTGTACAGAACATAACATACATACAAATTAGTGGTATGCTCTATGATGCCCACAGCAGAACAGCAGAGAACAAATCATGTGTGCCAATAACCTTATTTTTTTTAATGAATGGTGGAGTCACTGAAGACACACAGTAGTCAGCACTGCACAGCTAATATTGCTGCATTCTCTTGCTGCTCTCCTGATCCTAAAGGGCAAATCATCAATGACAGATTGCAACACACAGACATTGTATGACAATCTAAGTAACAATGACAGGGAAAAGATTGTGCCTCAGATTCACCCCTAGGGGTTATATATTGTGGTGGTGTGTTCTTCCTTGAGCATCACAAACTTCTCACCTACCTTTAAAAATACATTCACTTTATATGTTTATATTCTTCTTATATAGATATTACATAACTAAGCTTTTGTCATAATAAACTCTTACCCGATGCAAGAGTTTTTAATGCTATAATTTGTGAATTTAGCACTATGTTCCTTTTATAACAGCATTATGTCAAATCCTTCAAAGGACATTTAAGAAACTGCTTATGGCTCCCTAAGATAAGGATGTCTAAGGTGTCCAGGCAAAACTTATATTGAGAAAGATATGCATCTCAATTCTTGAGCACGTTTTACAGAGGAGACTATATACATATTGTTCACTCTTATACTTCTGTAGAGATAGTGTCTGAACATTAAGATTTTCAGCTGATACCTTCTTCCAGAGAATCTCAGTAAGATAAGTTTTCTTCAGCTATGATGTATGTATTTTCCTTTGGAAAAAGATGCCTGGAACCTAATCCTTTATCTTGTAGGCACCAGGCAAGCACTTTTATGTTCTCCTTGATTTTTAAATTACTCCTCCACTCTCTAGTGCTTTTACTACATAGCTTAGCTTGTCAATTTATAGTCTTTATACATGCTTTTTTAAAACTTTGTGCTTATTTTCATTTCTACTCTAAATTACCAGAGGATATACATAATAAAAGACAATGTAGAAATCTCTTTGAAATAAAACTGTACAAAGGTTTACAGCTCTGCAGAATAAACTGCATTTTCAGTTTAGTAGTAGAAAATAACTAATGCATTTATTATCTAGGTTCAGTTGACAATTCATTGGACCTCATTATTACACTGGCAAATAAAAAGTTAAATTATAGGTCATGTCACATTTAAATTTTTCTACAAAAAGTAAACTACAGCAGAAAAATAGTCTTTAACAAAAGTGTTTAACAAAAGAGACATGGCTAGCTTAGTTGTTCCTCAAATGGTACAAGTGTTATTTTTCCTTCTCATTATTTATAAGGAATATGATTTACATTTAACCTATTATATAATTCTACTTTGCGATGAATGTCTTTTCAGAGGGAATTTGCTAAGAGAGTTGGGTTCTGTGGGGCAGAACTACCACAAATTGCCGCCAGTTGCTGCTGTTCTAGTGACACATGGCAAGCACAGATCTTAGAGGAAGTGGCAGCTATTTTTTTTTCTGGTTCACAAAATTCCCTGACATCAAGAAAGCTTGCTGTTAGTGGAAGGTTCTTGTGGATTCCGAGAAGTACTCTAGTGCCAATGAGCCTAGGAAGAGCTATCCAGGCACTTTTGCATATCGATAATAGCATCAGCAGATTCTAGTGTCTAGGATGGATGGAGGAGACAAAACAGGGAGACTATATACACAGGTGATGAAATGAAGTTAATGAAAGGAGGAATAATGTCTGGGAAACGTCAAGTGGCCTGCGGGCAGGAGAAATTGTATGTTGGTGCATCAACAATTACTTAAATCCATTAAACAATTCTGCATCTGCAACAGCCTTGCTGAAAAATACTAATTTCAATAGTAGATGTTAACCAAACTCTAGTTTAGGTAGGTGTCAACGTTTCAAACACTTTCTGAATTTCTACCTCACTCCATAACAGTTGCCCAAAGAGGTAAAAAGACTATCTGCAGAAATTAAGTTGAACAGAGTAGGAAATACAGTGCTGATAATTTGAGAAAGCAGTAGCTGTTTATCAGTCTTGTAAAGGGTCAGCAACACTAGTAATTATCAGAAAAACAGAAGAATATGGATATTTCTATACTTTTCAAAGTATGAGAGATCTAACCATCGTTTCCCAAAAGAGGCAAAGTTACTGTTGTCATTAATGCTACTTACTATTATGAATTTTAACTATTATTAATAATAACTGAGCAAAACTAAAGATCATATTATATAAAGTTAAAATGTAAACAATGTTTCTAGGGAAGCACAGTAGAGAGCTCTTACTGTTCCAGGCAGATGGCTTTTTTCTTGCTTTCCATTCTGAGGAGTGCCATTTTTTAACTTTTTCTTTTTCTTTGCCATTTCTTTTTGTTCTCTTTGCTTGTTTTGCACTTCGATAAGGACAGATATGAAGCTGTTCTTTACTTCCTTCTCGAACTCCAACTCATCCCGTAGGGCTAACTGCTGCACTAACTCCTCAGAGTAGTCCTTGATGGCTGCCTCAATCTCTTCTAAGAGATCATTTAACTCAGTCACGGACAGCTTTTGCACCCCTGTAAAACAATATATTGCAATAATAGTCTAATCCCAGCAATACTTTTCCTAATAAACATATTCCAGCTATCCAATATGTACTTATGTTAAAAACCTTTCCGTTACTCTATTTATAACAAAACCCACCTCCCATTCTCCCCATGTAGATATGATCTCTGCATAAGAAATATCACTCAAAACAATTCTGAACTGTTTAACACTGCAATTATCTCTCTCTCTCCCCAATTGTTTTTAATTCAGTTTAGCATGTACAGAGTTGCAGCTTGCAGCTTCCAGGTTTTTTAAAGCTCCAGGCAGCTTAGGTCTAGATTGTTTTGCTCAATTGTTTAAATCAGTGTTTCTCAAACTTGGCATTTTAAGATGTGTGGACTTCAACTCCCAGAATTCCCCAGCCAACATGGCTAGCTAAGGAATTCTGGGAGTTGAAGTCCACACATCTTAAAGTTGCCAAGATTGAGAAAAAGTGATTAAAATCATTCATGTTCACAACTGCAAACTAGTACTATTGTACTTATCAGCTGAAAGCTCTAAATAAAAACCCCTATATCCACCTCCAAATCACTTAGGATTATAGTACCAAAATCAACTTATATATAAAAACATTTAACAATGTGAACAACATCAAGGAATGCAATTCTTGTAGTCTATCCTGGTGAACTGGAATTGAAACAAATGCAGCATTCTCAGTAGCTAGATAGAAGTAATTTATAACAGCAGATTGAAATTCTATTTTTAAGAAGTGCTACCAGTTTTAAGGAACAGTTCTCATATTTGCTTGTAAGAAAAGAAAACCACGTATGGGGAGGTTCCCATGCATTTTTCAGCCCTCTTGGGGTAAAAGTTTCTTCTTTAAGAAAGAAAAGAAAATAGCATATCTTTACTTTCCTTTTCTTTCAGCAACAGAAAATAAACATCTGAGAGAAAGATAAAGAAGTCCATGGTATAACAGCAAACATTATTTAGAATGCTTTAGATAAAGTATCCTAGCCAAGTCTCTTCATACCTTTCAGAAAAAAACAATTAAAATGAATTAGTCTTCCCTAAATAGAGTAACAGAATTTTGGCAGTAGAGTTTTTCTTTCATTCTTTTTTTCTAACAGAAGTTATTATCATGAGATTAAGAAATCAGTTGAACAGCTAGCTAATCCTTGTTTATCATTCTATATATCCATTAACGTCTGGAAAAGAAACAACTTTTCAGTCTCCTTTCTAGTATATATTTACCCAGTGGTGTGTTTAAAAATGTTTCTTCTATGTTACCAAGAAATAAAAAAGTCCAGGTGCATGCTGTGCTTTTCTAGAGCCCTTTCATAATGATGCCACTGAGGTACAGGGAAGCTTAAAGGTACCTTCATAAGCCTACCATGGTTTCAGCAAACCTGAAAGGACTGTATCTCATCCACCCCCCCTCCCCCCAAGAAAAAAGAGGGATGGGATGAATCACGACTAAGTTTAGGAAAAGAATGTTGCAGTTGGCTTCTTTTCTCAAGTTACAAATATGTGTTTCAGTTTTCATGTTTTGAATCTTCCAAATCTATCAGATATGCAAGTAATTACTGCATGATAAAAGCTTTGGTATCCTACAAAAGATGAGTGTATAAAAGTGGCATGTTCCTTAAGTGCAGAATAGTTTTTAAGACAAACATCAAACAGAAGATACACATAAACATCACTTACTTTCTTCATAATTGTGGTTTGTTCCAGATCTTTTAAGTGTTTGAATTTCTTGGGACAACGTGGACAGACGGTCTGACTGGCTTGGTGTTTCATCATCATCTGGATCGGGAGATTCCTGCATCATTTCCTCTATCTCTTCAATCACCTTCCACACACACAGAGAAAGTTCCAAAGGACCAAAGACAAAATTATATTGATTATTTATTTTTGTAAAGACTATTTAATAATAACTTTTAATCACTGAAAGACTCCAGTAGTCATCAGTATAAAAGGTCTAATAATGAATAAAACAGTATCAAGGGATGATTTTCAAAAATGGAGAAATTAATGTAATAATTAATTTAATTAACTTAAATTATTTATATATGAATAATTATTATTTATAACTAATTAAATATGGAAAATCCATATTGAAAACAATTTAGTCATAAATTAATACCATATTATTCAGTCAGGCAGTCAGTCAATCCCCGTACTTCTATACAGCCACAATTATACATTTCGAAGTGATTTATAAATCAAGTCAGAAAAATGATAAAAACCACAAATACCATAACTCTCAGAAAACATCAGTAAAAACTAAAATAATCACTGCTGCTCTGAAAGGGAGCAAAACATAGATGTTAGTCTCCAAAGGCCTGTGAGAAAAGCCATGTTTTAATCATTTTCTGAAAGATTAACAAAGTGGGGACTAGTTGGATCAGGAAAAGGAGTGTAATGCTGAGGAGTGGGGAGCAACAGTGAATAACATATTAATCCAGCAATCGTATGTGCATTTTGGTAACAAGTATTATCAATTAAATAGGAAGCACGTTTCCACATCATCCACCTCTAACAATCTGGCAGATTTTCCTGAGTCCGTAATACCGGTACAGGGTGCAGCAGTTCACTTGCGACTTGGTAGCAGTATCACAGTTCTCATTCCCTTGCATGGCTATCATTTTAGGGCCTGATCTGAGTTGCTGGATTCTTGGATAAAATGTATTTCAGGGGATGCTCAATGGCTGGGAAGATTGATATGGGGGAAATGACCAATAAATAGTCTAGAGAAGTTAAATAATGCATGAAAGGAAACTGAAATTGTTACTAAAATACAGCCGTGCATTTATGAGTTAGTACAATACAAGTGTCTTCCACCAGTGCAATAGTGAGTGGATAGCTGGTGAACACAATTGTTATGCTTCCCTACCGTTCTGATAATCCTTTTCACTGACTGCTTAAAGAAAAAAGAAAAACAAAACAGCTGCATTGTAGAAGCACTCTATATAGCCTTCAAGAGATACATACCCACATATGTAGGGGCTGCATCAGCTATCAGTGTGTTTCTGAGTGCAATTCAATATACTGATTGCTACCTTTAAAGTCCTATACATCTTGGAGCCAGGGGTGTTTGAGAGATTGCCTTTCCCAAGTAGATTCTGCTTGCCTAACTTGGACAGTTAGACATGCCTGGTAAGAGTCCTCACTCACCATAAGAAGTGATGGGGCCCTGCTGTTCTCTGTGGGGCTCCCCTCCTATGGAACAACTTGATCCCTGACGCAAAGATTCTCATGGCCTTCTACAAAACCTGGCTCTTTCAGAAAGCTTTTGGGGATTGATTGCGGAGTCACTAGTGCCAGTGTGCTGCTGCTGTTGTTATTTATCATTAGTATTTGTAGACTGTTTAGAGTCTGATAAGATTTTGTAGATAAATCCCATAAATAAAAAAATAGAAACATGCATACAAGAAGTCCCCTACATATACAGTATATACCTGTACTTTGGTTGTTTCCATTATATAAAAAAGAAGAGATAGCATCTCCTATTTAATTAACATGGATGTTATCTAGTTCTGTCCATCTGGAAGAAGAAGAAAGGAATTCCAAAGGATCAGATTTTTCCTCTCCATTATATTATATTTTCCCCAAGTCCTCTAAAATCTGCTGAAGGATTGGGGAGATTGTCCAGAGCAGATATGGGAGTCAAAAAAGCAGGGCAAGGAGGACAAAACCCCCCCACAAAAACCAAAAAAACCCCCCATGCCATCTCATATGCTATTGAATGCAGTTCTTGATTTTCAGTATTAACACAGATCAGGTGTTATCTGCTACTATCCAAATTAACTTACGTTGTTTTATTGTTTTCTTATTTTGAGATTTCTAATTCTTATTGGTGCTAAGTTAAGATTTAAAGTTACAGAGGAAAAATATTTCTTTCTCTACCTAAATTTTTTTTTAAAAAATAGCTGCAGATGTAAGGTTCTATGCAGAGTGCAGATATGTGCAGTATTCCTGGGTTCTTGGACTTTTACATACAGATATGCTAAAATAATTACAGATGATATATGACTGTGGTGAGGAATCATGTGACCTACAGGTTTCTCTGAAAGTCCTGGACACTACAGGCCTGTTCTCTGATCAGGTTTCAGTGCATAATGGTGGCAGAAGATAAGACCTAAGCATTGCAACTGGAAAAAGGGGAGGGCAAAATGCTTTTTAACCCCCACATGTGCATAACACAACTACACTTTAATCTGCCAAGTCCCATCTGCAACAGAAGAGCATAAGAAGCCTCAAAGTCAACATCCTGGACCAAAAACAGTAACAGAGATGTAAGTACAATTTTACAACTTTTACTTGTAAGCTGAGTAGAGTGAGATGGGTGGTGTATAAATTTGATTAATAAAATAAAATAAAGTATTTTTTTCCTTTTACTGACATCCATTCTTAGAATGTCTTTCCAACTTGAAAAGGAAGAAAGGAAAAGAATGGTAGTAAAAGGAACAAAGAAAGGAACAGGGTAGCTACCTAATATTTCTCTGGCTTGGCCCAGAGATCCTATGAGTTAATGGCATTTCAGAGAAATAAGGTTCCCTTCCCCTACTGTGTGCTAATACCTAAAAATTCACAGCTATGTAGACATTGAGAACAATAAAATATTTGGCTGGTGTGGGTCTTCCGGGCTGTGTGGCCGTGTTCTGGAAGTTTTGTTTCCTAACGTTTCGCCAGCACCTGTGACCGGCATCAAATGGCATTGTTTGCAGTAAAATCTCTATTTAATAAACAAACTGTTCAGTCCATTAAATGGAAATGGCATTGTTTGCAGTAAAATCTCTATTTAATAAACAAACTGTTCAGTCCATTAAATGGAAATGGCATTGTTTGCAGTAAAATCTCTATTTAATAAACAAACTGTTCAGTCCATTAAATGGTGGCGAAACGTTAGGAAACGAAACTTCCAGAACACGGCCACACAGCCCGGAAGACCCACACCAGCCATCGTATGCCGGCTGTGAAAGCCTTCGACAATACAATAAAATATTTATTTGATAGGCATTTGGGAGGCAGAGGAGGTGCCTGCTTATTCGGAATGTTCTTTAAATCCAAATTTGTATCATTTGTATCAATTTACTCATCATTTTTGGAATTACATAATTGAGGTAAATGGCATTGTTTGCAGTAAAATCTCTATTTAATAAACAAACTGTTCAGTCCATTAAATGGCTGTTATATCCATACAAAAATGTGTCTTTTATAAGTTGGCTAAGCAAGGTTCATCATACTGAGGGCTTACTATAGTCACACTGGATTAAAAACAGAAAATGATTTTAGGCTTAAATTACCTTATTAACCATTCTACCTCAATTTTATTATTCAATCATGTTTTACCATGTTGCTTTTACTTTTAAGACCAACCCTACGTTGCTATTTTTCCTACTGCCATTCATAAAATACTGGAAAACTACTTTGAATATTGTGATGCTCTTGTGCAAATGTGGAAGTATTTCCACAGTTGAGGGGGCTAACACTTGCTATCAAAGCGCTATTCAGAGGTTACATGTGTAGAACTGCTTATGTGTACACACCTCACCCATTTTCTCTCTGTCATACACATGCATAGCTAAGAATAATAGGAGAGAAGAAAGGGTTTAAACAACTCCTTCCCTAGCTCAGTTTTTTTAAAATCAAAATGGCTGTTTCTCTGCTAGAGTGAAACAACAAATCTTTTCTTGCTCACACTGGGTTGTAAGAAAAAGTGGGTGGAGCTCCCAGGGGCACTGGTGGACCACAGGGAATAGCAGAGGGCCACCGGCAACTTATGGCTTGCCCATATAAGCTCTAATATAACAGTGAAATAGTAAATCTTTTCTGCATTTAAAATATAGGTTACACCAGTCCATTCCTTTGCTAGGTTGTCTCAAAGCATTTCAAACATATTTGAAAGATGAAGTGTTTGATGCTAAAATGCAATACCAAAATTACACAAATTTATTTCTGAACTTTACCTGTTCAGCTGTGAAGAGAGGTTCTTCACTGATGCAGGAAACAATGATAGAATGCATGTCTAGCTGCTCTCTCAGCTCTTCATCATCTGATAGGTCAAGGTTCAAATTATCATTAACCTGTATAAAAATACAAAATAAAAACAGGTTATTAAAAAGACAGAGAAACCAACTAAACATCATAGCACTTAATTATATAATAGGCTATGGTATCTTTAAAAATTCTTAAGGTTTCAAAATACTGAAGACCCAAAATTATTATATCTTTCCTATCTACATAGTGCTTAACCTATGCATCAAACACACAAACAATATTCTGCAATTCAGCGCTCAGATTGATTAACTCACATGAACTGAATAAAAAGACACTGTCTGGCATAGTTCACAGATCACATTTATCCCTGAAAGGAATTGCTTAAACATTTTTATCTAGAATAAAATACATTCTGTGACACGATGCCCTAAAACAAACCACTGAGCTTGGACTCCGTTACGGCTTCAGAGGAGAGGAAATAACAAGATGGTAGGGAGTTCATTTTCATCTGAAGGCAGTGGTTCTAAAACCACACCAACGATATTAGACTGAGAGATCAAATTTGGACAATATGCAGCAATGGCAAAATTGACAGTACATATCCATAATAGAAGACTAAGCAAATTTAAGCAGAATGGCTCCCTTATATACAACATATTATACAGCAAGGTAAATTTAGACATTTGGAATATTGGTTCTAGAAAAAAGGTTATGAGACAATTAAAAAAAATAGATGAAAAGATTTAAATAGATACTAGCAATAATCTTCATTGTTCAATGTAAAGTTTAAATATCTAGGTTGTGGTCAGTGACTGGGGAAACAAATGAAGAAGGCGTTGCTAGAAAGTTTTCCAACGTTTTTATTTATGCTTAGTAGTTATTTCTCTTTATTTTATTCTATCGTCACTATCTAGTGTAGACTATTCTTTCTTTGTAATTCACTATTCTAACAATAAAAATATCTTTTCAATAAATAAAAATTTAAAAGTACCTAATCTCTGAGTATCCTTTTTTACACTCATTTACTGAATATTTTGTAAAATGTAAGGAAAAAATCCCCAAACCTCTATTTAAACATATAGTGAGGCCCCAAGCCACTGTCAAATTTATTCTTCAAAATAAATAAGATATATACTTGAAGTGTGGCATAGTGGCTAAGGTGCTGGATTAGAAGACAAGAGATCCAGGTTCAAATCTTCTATTAAGCATGGAAGCCAGCTGGGTGGCCCTAATCACATAAGCCAGCTGATAAACAAAAACATCATGCATTGGAAGGGGGTAGGGGTAGATATGTAATAAAGTGAATGTCTATTATTTCTTAATAGTTTTGCTCTTAAAGCTCTTCTATGGATTCCCTGATTCAATTCCAGGGATCAGCAGGTAGATTTATCCAAGTAGCACCAATCTGAATTTAGCTGATTCCAAAAAGCTAGGCATAGCTGGACCTGGTTGGAAGTCACCAGGAAATCTCAGGGTTGTAAGCTGGACCAAGAAATCAAAAAAACCATCCCCAAAGAAGGCAATGGTAAACCACTTCTGTGCTGCTGCTAGGAAGATGTCATGGGCTTATCCATGTAGTCCCAAGCACATGACCTTTACTCAAGGGAGTTTTTGCATTAAGAGCGTTTTAGTGCAGTCTGAAAAAGTTTAAATGTTTCTATCTTCTGCCTTACACCAGCTAAGGCTGAATAAATAAGGTTGCATATCTTCTTTTTTATGAAACAGAGGGTTGCTCTTATTCTTATATCGGTTACTATTACTGGTTATTTGATCCCTAACTTAAACAAAAAGTACTGTATATGATTAGAGCTGACAACTTAATCCATCCATCAAATGTGCAGGAATGCAGATGTAGGAATTAGCATTAAAATGATAATTCTTGTATTTTTTAGAATTAATATATCTTATTGGACATCGGGGCATTTGTCAGATACATTTTAAAGAAGAAAACCCATGATGCCAAAAACTAATAATGTTACAGCAAAGGTTCCTTTAATTTAATTGACAGATTATGTAATATTTGATTTCTAGGACACAGTTTTAAATGGACAAAAGAAAAATGTTCCAAACTATTCTGGCAATACTTACTCCCTTTTCAGAAAGATTCAGGGTTGGCAAATGCAGAGTTCTGGTGTGGGATGATTTCCAATCGACTGGCATTACATTACCATAATTATCTGTCAGAGCATTCCAAATCCTGGGAGGAAAAAAATCCGGTCCTTACAATATGCAGAAATTATGGTTCTGCTTTTAAAAGTGTCTATATCATATTAATCCCAAAGTGGTCCCAAAATTAAGTATGCCAATCTTCATAGTAATAGCCATATGAGTGGTTCATA